TGGAAAAACGCAAATACTTGCATAAGCTAATGCCCTCCCACTGTGTGTGTGTGTGTGTGTGTGTGTGTGTGTGTATGCACGCATGCGTGCACACGCATGCGCTGGTCCTGGGGGTTGAACTTGGATCCTAGGCACTGTCCTTTAGCTTTTTGTTGTTGTTGTTGGTCATGGGGCTTGAACTCGGCTTGGGCGCTGTCCTTATGCTCTTCAGCTCAAGGCGAGTGCTTTACTGCTTGAGCCACATTGCCACTTCTGGTTTTCTAGTGGTTTATTGGAGATAAGAGTCACATGGACTTTTCTGCCCCAGCTGGCTTGAAATGTGATCCTCAGATCTCAGCCTCCTGAGTAGCTAGGATTACAGGCGTGAGCCACCGGCGCCTGGCTGTCTTTTAGCTTTTTGCTCAAGACTGGTGCTCTACAACTTGAGCAAGTGTCAGATTTTCCTGCCCTGGCTGACTTTGAGCCCTTATCCTCAGATCTCAGCTTCCTGAGTATTACAGACTCAGTTATTATAGTATTATATTATTTGTATTTCCTGGGATTATAGATATGAGCCACTGGTACCTGGCCGCTAATCCCCTTTGGAAACATCTGACATTCCTAACCCTGGGAAGTTCCTTCCTTCTCCTTCCCGATGCTCTGATTGCTTTCCACATGAGTCAGCCCATTCTGCTGTAGAATTTCATGAGGTGGACTCATACACATCTTGTGGCCTGTCATTCAGCAGGGTTTGGGGTGTATTCATGGGATAGTATGACTATGACATTGTTCCTGTGTGTTGCTGGATTCTTGGACATGGTATGAATACACAGTTGCTTGTGTACCCATTCTCTTTTGATGGGCACTTGGTCTAATTCCAGGGAGGTCTATTATGAGGAAAGTTGCTCTCAGCATTGTTCCCTGAGGCCTCTTGTAGGCACATGTGTTCCTGTCTCTTGGGTAAATACCTCCGAGTGGAATTATGGGGCCTTAAGGCAGGTGTATGTTGCGATTTAGAAGAAGCAACCAGGCTTTTTTTTTTCCAGGTGGTTGGACATTTCCCCTCCTGTACTGGGGTGTGAGAGTTCTGTTTGTGAATAGAAGCTGTGTCGTTCCTTTTCCTTTTAGCTGTTCTGGTGGGTGTGTGGCAGCATCGCCTTGGGCTTTTTATTTGCATTTCCCGGATGACTAAGCACTGAGTACCCACTCACGTGTGCTGCCTGGCCCCTGTACTGCCTTCCTTTGTGAAGTGCTTACTCAAGTCTGTTGCTCACTTTTAAAAAAACAAACTTGGTTATTTTTTAGTTTGTTACATAGTTGTAGGCGCTTTTTATCTGCTGCACGTTTTTGGGTTTTTTTGGTCTTTTAGGGTTTGAACTCAGGGCTTCCTCCTTACCAGGTTGTACCACTTGAGCCACACTGCCAGCACCTAGCACTTTTGCTTTGGATTTTTTTTTTTTTGGCCAATCCTGGGGCTTGAATTCAAGGCCTTGGACGCTGTCTCTGAGCTTCTTTTGCTCAAGGCTAGCACTCTACCACTTGAGCCACAGCACTACTTCTGGCCTTTTCTGTTTATGTGGTACTGAGGAATTGAACCTACAGCCTCACACATGCTAGACAAGCACTCTGCCCTTAAGCCACATTCCCAGCCCCTTTGGTAATGTTTTGAATAGGGCTTCCTTTTTCTTGCCCTAGCTGGCCTCAAACTGGGATCCCCGGGTCCTCTGTCTTACAGCTGGACTTATTTATTTGTGTATACTTATTTCTGCAGTTAGGTTGGCTCTAGTTAACTAAGTTATCCCTGTTGGTAGTCTTGGTCCTGGAAGGTTAAGACCCACTGTGTTCTTATGTCCTGTGTAAAAGATTTGGGAAGGCTGGGAGGGAGCTAGAGGAAATGGCTACATTCCACAGAGTTCTGGTAGACTATCCTGTATATAAATTCTTTCCTAGACCTGCAATGTGTAACCCTAATCCTAACTGCTTAAGGGACCCACACTGGCTCCCTTGTGCTCACAGTACCCCTTTCCTTATAGGTATGATGGCAGGGATTCTCTAGCTTTTTGCCAAAGACCAACAAAAGTCTACATGTTAAAGAAAAAACATAAAGAAAGACTCACCGGGGCTGGGAATGTGGCTTAGTGGTAGAGTGCTTCCCTAGCATGTATGAAGCCCTGGGTTCGATTGCTCAGTACCACATACACAGAAAGAGCTGGAAGTGGTGCTGTGGCTCAAGTGGTAGAGTGCTAGCCTTGAGCTGAGGGATAGCGCCCAGGCCCAGAGTTCAGGCCCCACAACTGGACCAAAAAAATAAAAAATAAATAAATACAAGTAACTTTCTTAGCTTTTCTGGTTTTGTTACGGTTCTCGGGATTGAACCCAGGGCCTTGCAACTTGCTAGACAGGCACTTGGCCACTGAGGTATACTCCCAGCCTTAATTCTTACTGTTTAACTCTTATAGAACCCATTGTTGTTTGTTGGAGAGTGGTGATTGTAGACTCAGTCTTCTTACTAGTTGTAAGTCTTTTCATGTTTCTGTTTCTTTCTGAGTCAGTTCTGGTAGGTTGTTTTGAGTAATGTATTCATTTCTTTCAATGTGTTGGCAGACAGTTAATAAGATTCCTTTATAGCCCTGTTTCATTTCTGTATAGGTGGTAGCCATGTCTCTGGTTTCATAACTACTTTTAGTAATTTGAGTTCTTTTTCCTCTTAGTCTTGGTAAAGATCACCAGTTTTATTGATCTTTCTAAGGGACCAATAACAGGTACTCTGGCTTTCCTTCAGTCATTTTTCTTTTCTTTATTTTACTTACTTCTGTTTTAATTTTAATTTTATTTTTTGTTTTGTTGGCATTGGGGTCTGAACTCAGGGCCTTGTGCTTGGTAGACAAGCCCCATACCATAGAGGTATACTTTTTCTTTCCCTGGTTGTTTTGGGGCTAGATTCTCTATTCCTGCTCCGGCTAGTCTAAACAGTGATCCACCTGATTTAGGCCTCCCATTGTCACGGGGATTACAAGTATGTGCCACTGCATTCAGCTTCCCTTTGTGGAGATGGAGTCTTATTGGTTTTTCTGCCCAGGTTGGACTCTTTAATCTTTCTGTTCTCAGTTTCCCAAGTACCCACTGGTTGCCTGCCTGTTTTATTTATTTATTTTTGAGAGTCTCTCTATGTAGTCCAGACTAGACTTAAACTCATAGTCCCCCTGCCTCAGTTTCCTGAGTGCTGGGATTACAAATGTACAGCGCCATGCCTGACTCTGAATTGATATTTATTATGATGAAGGGATAGCTCTTTTTTAAAAAAATGTTATTGTTATAAAGGTGATGTACAGATGTACTGATGTACCTGACTATTTCATGTCAGGTAATGAATACATTGCTCTTTGCACATCGTCACCCCTTCCTTTGCTCTTTCCCAGTTGATTCCTCCTGCCTCCACCCACAAGTTGTGTAGTTCATTTTCAACATAGCAAGGGGGCAGCTCTCTCTCTCTCTTTGTTTTTTTTTTTTTGTAGGTTGTGGGGCTTGAACTCCGGGCCTCGGCTCTTCAGCTTAAGGCGAGCTCTCTACGAGCTCTCTACTGCTTGAGCCACAGTACCACTTCCAGTTTTCTGCTGGTTTATTTTTATTTTTTTTCCGGTTGTGGGGCCTGAACTCTGGGACTTGGCGCTGTACCTCAGCTCTTTTTTTTTTTTAATTAATTAATTTTTTTTTTGGTCTGGTCCTGGGCCTGAACTCTGGGCCTGGGCGCTGTCCCTCAGCTCTTCAGCTCAAGGCTAGTGCTCTAGCACTTGAGCCACAGTGCCACTTCCGGCTTT